CAGGAACTGTTCCAGTTTGGAGCACTGGTAGTAGAGTGGTTAAATGCTGGTACTGCAGCCACGAGGTTGTGAGTTCGATCCTAGGCAGGGCTCCATGTTCCATCCAGCCCTCCATCCTTTCATAGGTCAGTAAAATGAGTGCTCAGCTTGTTGGGGGCAGTTAGTTTAAACATTGTAAACTGCTTAGGGAGTGCTGGTTCACTGATAAGCAATAGAAATGTACTTGCTGTTGCTGCTTGCAAAAATGCTTTCCCTGTTGCATCCTATAATAATAGCAAACTCCTTATCAATATATGCCCACAAGGGAAGATATGGAGAAAGAATTTTTGATTTAAAAAAAACACAGGGAAATAACCTCCTTCTCCTCCATAGAGCCCATTGGGAGCTCATTATGCTCAAAGGGTTCAAAATTGCTGACCTGTGAAAGAAAAAAGCCACGAAGGGAGAGAGAGAGAATGGAATTCCTTGGAAGGTAACTTGACTGGCTGCCTGGAATTCTGAACAGAAACAACCTATCTTGCAACATTTTATTGCATGTGTGTGTGTGTAGTAATAACAAACTCATTCTCCCAAATGTGAAACCTCTGTAGCCAAAACAGCACAATGCACATGCAAGAAGGAAGAGTCAGTGGGCTTCTGATAAATCCCCCACCCCTCCACCCTGACCTGAAAGACTTAGGGGCATTGCAGACCGGCCCAAAGGGTTAGCCTGGGGGTGGTGTTGGGGCGGAGCAGCCGCATGTCAGCCACCCCAACCCCAGCCTGACGCCGTCCTGACGCTGTGCGCCTGTACGCACAGCACATGGTATCAGAACACCCTCTCGGCGCAGCATGCAGACACGCTGCACTGAAAGGGTGCGGAAGAGCTACGGCACCAGCTCTTGGGGTGGCAAACGGGAGGATCGGTGCCACGGCGTGTGGTTGCCACGGCCCCAATCCGCTGCTGGCAGGGGCAGCCCAGAGCTGCCCGTCTGCATAGCCCCTTACTTTTAGTACTTCCTTTTATTTAAGCAATTATCCACAGTGGGCACCTGAAATGTGGCCCCTGACGCACCGAAGTCCCCAAAAATGTTATATATATTGGAGCCATTTCTTTCCCCCAAACCCACAAGATGACTTGCATCCCAAGTACCACACATACCTGGAAAACCCCAAAGCAAGGCAAAATCAGCCAAAATCAAACCTAGAAGCAGCATGCCACTTCTGGATGTGTCTAGCATACCAATGTATTCCACCAGAAATGCTGCAGCAAAAAAAAAAAAAGAAAAAATGCCCTCCAACCTCCTCTGCAGTTGCAGACCCCTGCAATAACCTTTTAGCCATAGGTTAGATGGCAAAGTGTTTTCAGTTCTGTGAACCACATGGGAGTCTTGGACTGTGTGCAGACATATATGTGCAGAAATTCATTCTTATTAGTTTGGACATTTCCCCAAGTTCCCCATTAAGCATACAAATCACAGTTCAGTTCTATGCCCATCTACTCCCAGATTACTCCCAAGTGCAATCATTTCTCAAAAATTCAAAGAGGAATCTACATCTTTTTGTTGCATGACCAGTTACAATTCTGGTAACTGGTCATGGTTACAATTTAATTAACATTTAAATACCTTCAAATCTGAGCACTGATTGGAGACAAGAATGCCATTTCCTATCCTAATGCTAATGAAAGCCTTTTCTCCCTCTCTCCTAGCAATCCCAATACCATACCAGCTACCTTCCTTACAGCCCAGATGATCAGATGGGCTGTGGATAAAAATATGCTAGACCTGCACAGTCCATGTCAGAGGTGTGTGCCCTACTATAGATAATCAGGATTTTTATACAGATGGGTGAGTAAACTAGAAGAGGAAGGTTGCAGAGCTCTACCTCTCTCCTTTGTGTCCAATCTAGAATCCAAACAGGCCACTAGAGAAGGGAAGTCCCTCCTTCCTCAGCCAGCACAGAAGTGTATCCACTGCCCTTCCCCTGTCAGCTTCCATCAGATATGTAAAGAAATAATTTAAGGGTCCCCTGCTGTTGGAACTGGTACTTACAAAAACTACATGTAGTGGTGGCTTAATTTAGTTTTAAAGTAATTGTTGTGATTTGTTGTCTTATTCTTTTTGACGATGCTGGGAACATCTTTATTTATAGAGCATTGTACACATTTTCTAAATACAGGAAAAATAAACATTTTGACCACCATTTATTTTTTGTGCTGAACAAAAACAGTCAAATGTAAGTGTCTCCAGATCTTGTGGAAGTGATCCTTTGGTTCTCATCCTTGACTCTAAGAGATAACTGCACCCTTACATCCTTCTTGAAACAGTGTTGGGGGAAAATGAGACACTAAATATATCTTTGGCCTGGTACAAGGGGACTCTTTTTAGCTTCAGTTTCATTGAATGGCAGGAGACTTTAAGCTTGGAGAAAGGCCATTGCTCACTTCTTTGGATACAGCAGGTCAGAGGTTCAGTACCTGCAGACAAAACAAAACAAAACAAAAAAAATTCCTTTGAAACCCAAGAGGGCTCCTGCCAGACACTGTCAACATTACTGGGCCAAATAGCCCCATAATCTGTCCTAGTATAAAACATCTTCCTATGTTCCTAATGTTTTCAGCAAAACCTATTTCCAAAGACTGAAGTGTAATTTTTGTTGTTTGTTGTTAACCACTCTCAAGTTGATTGCAACCCATGGCAACCCTATGGATGAGATATCTCCAAGACTCCCTGTCCTCCACTGCTCTGCTTAGTTCCTGCAAAGTCATACCCGTGACCTCCTTAATATAGTCCATCCATCTAGCATACCGCCTTCCTCTCTTTCTACTTCCCTCCAACTTTCCTAGAATTATTGGTTTTTCCAATGAGTTGTGCCTTCTCATGATGTGCCCGAAGTAAGACAGCCTCAGTTTTGTCATTTTGGCTTCCAGGGAGATTTCAGGTCTAATCTGTTCCAGGACCCGTTTGTCCTTTTGGCTGTGCATGGGATCCTCAACACTCTTCTCCAGCACCACATCTCAAATGATTATCTTCCTGCTATCTTTCTTAACTGTCCAGTTCTCACATCCATACATGGTAACAGGGAACACAATGGTGCATATGATTCTAACTTTTGCATTCCTGAAATAAACATATTTCCAGGAACTGTTCCAGTTTGGAGCACTGGTAGTAGAGTGGTTAAATGCTTTACATATCTTTTCTAGTTCTTTCATAGCCACCTTCCCCATTATTAATTTTCCTCTGATTTCCTGGCTGCGGTCCCCGTTCCTATCAGTGTTTGATCCCAGATATAAGAAGTATTTTACTAATTCTATTTCTTCATTGTCTAAGTTGAATTTATGTAGATTCTCTGTGGTCATTATTTTTGTTTTCTTTATGTTCAATAGTAAACCTGTCTTTGCACTTTCTTCCTTGATCTTCCTTAGTAGCTGTTTCATGTCTGGGAGGTTTTCTGCTAGTATAGTGTTGTCTGTGTATCTTAGATTATTGATATTCCTCCCTCTTATTTTCACTCATCCTTCTTCTGTGTCCAAGCATACTTTTCTTATAATATGTTCTGCTTATAAATTGAACAAGTAGGGTGATAAGATGCAGCCTCGTCTGACCCCTTTGCCAATTGGGAACCATTCTATTTCTCCGTGTTCTGTTCTGATAGTAACCTCTTGTAAGTACAGATTCCTCATCAGGACTATCAGATGTACTGGTAGTCTCATGTCTTTAAGGAAGTTTCATAGCCTTTCATGATCTAGCACAGGGGTAGGCAACCTTTTTGAGCTGGGGGCTGGATTGCTGTCCCTCAGACAATTGGGGTGCTGAAGCAAAAAAAAATGCATGCCCACTCTCTCAGCCCCAGAAAAGCCATGGCAAAACCCCTGAGGAGATTTTGCCAAGAAAACCCCAAGAACAAGTAATAACAACAATAATATCATCATGGTGGGGGTCATTGTCGTTGTCAGCGGCATGACTGGCCTGGGGCTGGTCCAAAGGCCTTGGGGGGCTGCATCTGGGCCCCGGGCTGTAGGTTGCCTACCCCTGATCTAGCAATAGCAAGTACATTTCTATACCACTTATCAGTGCACTTAAGCACTCCCTAAGCAGTTTATAATGTGTAAGCTAATTGCATCCAACAAGCTGGGTACTCATTTTAGTGACCTTGGAAGGATACTAGGCTGAGTCAACCTTGGAGCTCTGGCTGAGATTAAATTAACAACCTTGTGGCTGTCAGTGAATGGCTGCAGTACTAGCATTTAACCACTCTGCCACCAGGGCATGTATGCAGTCAAAAACTTTGCTATATAGTCCATAACGCACATGCTGATTTTCTTTTGGAATTCCCTGGTGCTCTCCATTAGCCATAGTATGTTTGCAATGTGGTCCCTAGTGTCTCCTCCTTTCCTGAACCCTGCTTGCACCTTTGGGATTTCTCTCTTCATGAATGTTGGACTCTATGTTGCAGAATTTTTAGCATAATTTTACTTGCATGGGAGATTAGTGCTATGGTCCTATTGGTGCTGCAGTCTTTTGTGTCTCCTTTTTTGTGAATGGGATGCATATTGATAATTTCCAATCAGTCACCCAGGACTCTTTCTGCTTGGCTCAAGAGAGAAAGAAACTGCTCTCCCCACCCCAAGGGGTAATC